AAAGAACGAAGGAAGTATTAATTAAGTGCCTATTTGGATTTTCAATTAACAAACATCAAAGGGGCAGAATCATTTGTTTATAGATTGTTGGTATATAATTTCATTAAATAGGACTCTAGAGTTTTAATTCTGTTCCATGTGCTTGGTTATCCATTTAATGAGTATATTTTATATTCAAACGTGTTTTATGCAGGCTTGCTTTTTCAACCCAGGGGAAGAAGAACACAACCACCGAAGAGAATGACAAGTAGAGGAGTCATTCAAGAGTCGTTGCTTTATTCATTCGAAAGGTCAATTAAGGTAATTAAGGTAATTGACCATAGCTATATTCTTAGCATCTAAAAGGTCAATTAAGGTAACACCCCCAATTTCGCACCCAAAAATAATACTTGAAATAATAATTTTTTGATAATAAACTTGCTTTATTCATTCGAAATTGACAAAAATCTTGCAGCGGAAATAATTTAAATAGGGAAACGGGTGTTACCACCACATCCGGTCATCTCTTAACCGGATGCACAGACAACTAAAACAAAACAGTCATGATTAATTGCAATATGAAGAAACAAATGTTCAACGTAACTAAAATGTTCATTCATGTCTAGGTTTTACTAAGGCATCTAGCAACTGCTCTCAGACGCATGCAATCAACAATCAACATAGCCATCATCATCTGCACAAATAAAGTGCAGAAAACAAAACAAAGAAAGGAAAACAAAAATTAGCTTTAGAGCTAAGTAAGTACTACCCAACCCCGTAAAATAATCAGGTTTGGTGAAAAATAATTTTTCATATAATACTATATAAAAATAACACACTCCGCCAAAATTCTCCTCTTTGATTTTTCTCAAAATCGCTTCTTTATTAAAGTCCTCAACTTTTCTTCGAAAATACTATAGTATCTCTTCTCTTAGAATTTCTCAAAATTCACTTCTTCTCTATCTTTCTAGTAATTTAGAAGAGCGGTGCTCAACACTCTGGTTGAGCCCGGTGGTTACGTTATTATGTACGGCCACCCCGGGACTTTTGACGGTACCACAACTGTTAATGGAAACGAAACGACTACCTTAAGTGTGCACACCCCCTAAAAGGGATTTCAAGCCCTCCGAGTAGTAAGTCGTCACGACTAATCGGGACTCAGTCTACCAACTACCCCACCTTTAGAATTCTTGAATGATTAGGGACTACTACTGTTATAACTTCTTCTTAAAGGGATCATAGATCCAAATGTCACTTCAAACTCAACTGTACTTCTTAGTAGTAGCAACGCTAATCACCCTCCACATTTATCCGGATGTGGAAAACCGAAACCACGGATTTCTCCCAGGTGCTCACCTCTTATGAAAATGTAAATTTTAGTTTGACTTTAGATATACTTCCAAAAATATTTCTCAATCTCTCTAAATAGTCTCAAAGATATTTAAAAATATTTAATATCCCAAAAGTACTCTTAATCTGCATTCCTCAAAATCACATACACATAATCCACAATTTGCACTTAATTCACACAATGCATAATAAGCATATAATACGAGGAAACAATTTTGGATTAGCAGAGAAACTTACCTTAAATTGCGATAATCCCCTTAATAAAATCTATAACTTGGTCTTCACTTGAATTCTCCTTCTAATATATATCAAAATTCTAAATCAATGACTATTCTATTATTTTTGTTATTTCCTATCAATCCCATCTTTAATTATTTTAATTTTATAATTCCTTCTTTAAATATATCTATTAGGTTAGAATCATAAACGTTACTTAAAATGTTAATTTTCAGTCCACCTTATTATTTTCTTTGATCATACTAATCCCCTCCATAAGTTACTTTAATTTATTTGATTGATTAATATACTAGTCTAATTAACTTAATTACATAATAATTTTATTATTTCGAATTAAATAATTAATTTTAGTCCGAAATTCAGTTTATATAACTTATATAATAATTCGAAATAATAATCATTAATGATAATCTAATCTCAATAACAACTTTAATTAGCTCACTAGATTATTTATACTAACTAACCTAATTACATTAACTAATCCCACCCTCCAAATTTATTTATTTGATTAACTAATTTAATTGAACTAACTTCATCAACTAAATAAGTTTAATTATATCAATATAGCTAAATATATTAATCCAATTCAATTAAGGTCAATAACTAAATTCTAATTTCGTTTTAATTTTCTATTTGTACTATAAATTCCAACAATATTACCAAGTCCATAATTTAACTAATTTATCTATTAAACTAATTGATTTAGTAAAACTAGTCCAATAAGATCAATTAACTAAATTATTAAGTGCCCATTACTTAATTAATTTATTTATATTAATCAACTAATTTTTTATAAGTTCAAATAGTTTAACAACTTATATGAAATTCGAATCAATAATAATCAAGAATAATAATTATTAATTTAATCAAACTAATTTAATTAGTCTACTAATTCAATAATTTATTTATTAAGTTCAAATATAGTCATTCATTTATGCTAGCTAACCCAACTTTATTTTCTTTTCCTTATTTCATTCCAAACATCATTTTTAGTCCAGAATATTATTTTCAATCTCATTGATCTAATTACTTAACTAGTTTTATATGGCCCAATTAAATTAAATAGTTTAAGAATCAACTTTATAAATTAATAACCGTCCATAACCATATTTTGGATCTATATTTGACTTAGGTTGTCCATATATTTATTTTATAAGTATTTCTCTTATTTATTGATTTAATTTCATATATCTATTAACTGCTTTAATTACAATTAAATATACTAATCATATATTTTATTAATTATAAATGGTACCAAATGTCCTAGTTGTTTATATATTTAATATAGTTTACTCCAATATTTATTTAATAATTATTTTCGTTATTTAGTTAATATTTTGTTAAATGTGTACAACTTGGCCCAATTACAATTAAATCAATTAAAAATAGCTAAAAATATTATCTTTCAATTCTGCTTGGTCCAAATATGTATATTTATACTAGGTATTTAATTTATATTTTTCCGGATTTTATTTATTTGATTTACTATTTTATTTTTATTTTTTATCGAAACTGGGCCGAACTGGCCCATTAAACTGACCCGACCCAAAAGTTTTGACCCAGCAAACTGGGTCATCTTCTCCAGGTCGCGATTACGGCGATTTCGCCGGAAATTAGAAAACTTCAGTGAGCTATAACTTGACTTACAGGTAACGGATTTCGATGATTCAAGTTGCAAAATGATCCTGAAGTCGAGGAGAAGCTCCACCACCCCTATCTACGGCCAAATCGTGTCTTTTTTGAAGACCCGTTTCCAAGACTTGCAACTCCGACGACGTCTAAGAAACTCCGGTGACTACGAATCAGTCTGGAATTTATTGGGAAGTATTCCTATACCTCTCACGACCCTCCTCTATCGTTTTTAAGAAGATTTATACGTAAGATAATATATATAGAAGTTTTCCGACGAGATTAAACACACACACACACACACACACATATATATGTATGTATGTATGTATGTATGTATGTATGTATGTATGTATGTATGTATGTATGTATGTATGTATGTATATGTATGTATAGCTTATATCTCTCCGATTTGAAGTGTTTGGGATGGCTAAGGGGTTTATTTATAGGTCTAGATGGATCCTTCTGGATTTTAAATGAATTATTATGATTTTTTTATGTATTTGATAATTATATGAATAATAAAATAATAAAAATAATAATGTTTATACATAATGATAGGTTGGTAGTTGATGAACATGACATGTGTATTAGTTCCTGATTTGATTCCTCTTGATATTTATGTTTCCTTTTATTTTTATTTTATTTTTCTGATGCCACATAAGTGTTTAATTCTATTGAATGACGTGTGCGTATATTTTTATACACCAAGTATAATACAAAATATTTTGATTTTACTTTTATTTGATTTATGAGATATAACTTATCTGATTTGTTTATTTATTTATTTTTATTTCAAATTTTCAAGGTATCACAATTACTAACTAAGGTAATTTAAGCTCTATACTATGTTTATCTTCTCTTTCCCATCTAATTTCTTTCGTGTTGAATCCTTGATTTTTCCCTTAATTCGAAACTCATGTTAACAATATGATATACTCTGTTACTAAAAAGTAATGATATTTGGATACTTATTGTTAACCTGATTATGTTAACTATTATTAGAGTTGATGTGACTCTAAATGATTTAATTAGTAACCAGAAGCAAAGCCGCACTCTAGGCCTTCTGGGTTAACGAGTGATTCAATGATAATTTGAACTTTCATGTGTTTAATAGCCAAGAGAATTGTGTTAGTCTGTATATCAATGGAAGTTTAGTAAAAAATAGAATTTGATAACTTTGTGTGGATGTGTACCGGATGACTAGTTGTTTTCCTTCTTTTGACAATTCATAGTAGCAGGATCCTCTAGTAGTGGGAACCCTCTAGTAGTGGGAACCTGCTTCTTCCATTCTATAATTACATTTATAGTACTGAACTTTTTAACTCAATCTAGATATTAGTCATCTTTTCATTGAAGAAATGAGTCCATTTGGTAGTGGTAGATTTGATTAAGAAGAGTAAATGTATTGTGAAGGTCTTCTATCATAGAAAACTAATTGATTCATTGAAAACTATGTGAATTCAATTAATTTTTTAATAAAAGTACTATCTCCGTCTCAAGAAGTTCCCACTTTCTTTTTATGAATGTCACGAGAAGTTCTCACTTTCTTTTTATGGATGTCTCAAAAAGAAGTTCTCATATCTATAAAAAAACCACTTTTAATCAAAAAGTCATAACTATCCTTACTTTTTACCCATTTTTTGTCTGATTTGACATAAAGTAAGTGTATACCTGAAAAGTCAAAACAAAAATTTATCTTACATAAATATGTCTGTAATTCAAACTAGGAACTTCTTTACGGGACGGAGGGAGTACATGAATTTATTTGATAAAAAAATGTTTAAAACGGCTTGCATCAACTAAATCAACTAAAAGGGGCATATATATGATGATATATCTGTAATCTGTCTTATAGTATAGCCTCATAGGAGTTCTGTTCGAGAACTATGCGCACCCCAAAATGAATGTTATCATTTTGATGATTTATTTATCGATTTCAATTTCCGTTTGTAAAATTTCCTCTTGTTAAACAACCTTTGCCATTTGCATTTCCTTTGCAAGAGAGCGAAATGTGGAGTAGATTTTGGGCGCCGCTTGGAAGGATAAACCCACCGTATTCCTCCGCTTTCCAGCACAACTATATCGCCGCCGCCACATCAGCCAATACCCACCTCTCTACTGCCACGTCTAGTTCGCCGCTAGCTTTCTTCTCTATACACTCCACCATTGCATCTGGTTCGTAAATCATCTCTCCTTTTCTCAATATAATTTTAAATGAAGTATATCAGGCGCTGTATATTTATTTATCTATTTCAATTTCCGTTTACCAGGAAATGTCGATACAGGGAAAATGATTGCTTCTGGTGTAAGTAGTTCTTACCTCTTAAAGATTTTCTTTATGCATATCTGTATTCTTCGTGGGTTCAATTTAGTTTACCATACTGAAATCGTTAGAAGATGTTTTGTCATCGGGCTGCCCATTGTGTTGTTCTTCCTACTTTTACTGGAGCTTATCGGTGTGTTGTCCTTACTTTATCTCAGTTTTCATTAGTGCCTTTTCCTAAAATGGCAGAATCAGATGTTAAATCGAGACATGGCCTCCAAATCACTCTAACTTTTCATAATTGTACATATAAGGTTTACGACTTTTTCCGTTTCCCGCTTCCATGCTACTTAGAGGTACACTAGAATGTTGTAATTGGGTGTTGTTAATTGCTTTCTGTAGGAGTACAGTGTGATTCTCGGCTATCACATCGTATCTATGTGCTGAACTGGAAACAGTTAGGTTGCCTGGTGCCTGTTGAATGAGGCAAGGACATGGACTTCGATTTTAGCACTGTCATTGTTTGATACAGGATTGAAGATAGTATAGTAGTGTGAAACTGGTACTTTAAGAAACATGGATTTTGATTTTAGCTAACCTTTTTTAAAATGATACGTAGTACGGAGTATTATTTTACCTAACTAGAGAAGAAACAAATAAATGCTCATTTTCTTGTGTTACCAGAAAATGCTCTGAGTGGTTTTCCTAGATGTCTGCAATGTGTACAGGACTGCCTTGTTAATTTTGATTTCGTTTTTATCTTTTTGGCTTATTTTCTAGAGCTTCAAGGTTTCATAGTCAGGGCTCATTTAGTCAATCTCTTTTCTGAGTTATGCAGCAAACTTGTGTAGTTACAACAGAGAAATAACCACTAATCTCATTTGTTAACATAGTTATTTCACTTATCGAAAGAAGAAAAAAAAAGTGCCCATTTACTTGTGTTACCAGCAAATGCTTCATTTGCTGATGTTGTCCAGTTGTCTGCTATATATTCTGTATACTTGTGTTTCTGGACATTCATGCTAATGTTGATTTCATTTTTAATAAACTTTCTTTGTTCTCTAAACTAAAGGCTTCAAAGTGGATCAGGTAGGCCTATTTAAGGAGTGATTGGAATTGGTTCCTTCTGCTTTTTGAAAAAAAAAGCAGAAGCTGAATCAAATATCGCTGTTTGACAAAATAATCCTGATTTAAGTGTTTGGTATTCATTATGCTTTATTAAATAGAAAACCAATCTAAGGTGTTTGTATAGTGTGCTAATGTAAATAATTGTTACGTTAATTACCTAAATGCATAATTTATTGATTAGAGAAATTAATTTATTAATTATTATTGTATCTATTTTATTAATTTCTAAAAGGCATAATTGCTAATGTTTAGTTTTTTTAAAAAGCAGAAGCGGAATCAAATTTCGCTGTTCGACAAAATGATCCCGATTTAAGTGTTTGGTATTGATCATGCTTTATTAAATAGAAAACCGATCTAAGATGTTAGGATAGTTTGCTAATGTAAATAATTGTATCGTAAATTACCTAAATGCAATACTTATTGATTAGGAAAAGTTGTAGATTTAGTACCTTAACATATTCATGTGCTTTGTAGCATTACTCACTTGCAGTTTAGATTTTGTAACTAATATGTTTGTCCATATTGACGACTTTGCCACTGGAATGTACAATTTCCGGTGAAACATTTCACCCCAGTCCCCAGTAGTGACTTTTCTGGTCCACATTTTCCCAGAAGTTGTACTTTATGGTGGCAAAGTTTTTAAAGCCTAAAAGTTATTAGTTACAAGACCTGATCTTCAAGTAAGTAAAGTTATAGTACTAAATCATCATCTCTCTCTTACTAATTATGTATTAAGAAATAATGCTAAAACACTATATAATATGATAAATGGTGTAAACACTAATATTCCAAATAATGTAGTTTACATACTAACATTTGAATATTGAGTTTATGTAGAAACAATAACTAATTGTTTTATATCATTCCTATTCTTTTGAGATCTTGAAATGTTTAATCTATCAAACATTAGAGGTAGATACTCACAAATATAATCTCACGGTCTCACCATACTTATCCATTTGAACAAAACTAAATGCTAATGAAAACCCAAACACATTTATAATTACACTAATGTTTATATGGATTTTCATATTAATATTAATATTAATATTAATATTCACAATTACATGGATATTTATGCTGATGCTTTATGCTTTAGTCTTATGCTTATGCTTAAGAGTCAATAAGCAGAATCATTTTTATAGAAACTGGTCTACCCCAGTGTCTCAAAAACTTCTTTTGGGGAGCAGTCAGAAGCAGTTCATAGTGCTTTTACAGTTTCACCCAAACACTCCTCAAAGTGCTTATGCTCTTTGAAGGAACATAAGCATTTTTTTAAAGTTAGATTTAAACACTCCATGAATTTCCTTGTTCAGTTATGGAGCAAACATGTGAAATTACCACAAAGAAATGCCTATAATTTTCTTCAGTTACCATAGTTTGTAGATAGTTGTGCTTGTTCATTGTTGTGTTATATTGTGGTTCTGGTCTTCTGTTCAATAATTCTTTTCTTTAACCTGACACTTTCAGCAAAACCGTGGAACAAAAGAAGAGCATCTTATACACACTACAAAAAATGGCATTGCTGTATTGCCATCTTATCATAGGGATCATAGGTCCTGCTTTTCACAACTATCCACAATGGGGCTTATTTTTCCTAGTAGGTTAATTGCAACCATGGCAACCTCCGGGGGTACTGTTTCCCCAGATGCTTTAAGTCCTGACTGTCAACCAACTCCACGTATCAAATTTAAGAGACTCGATAAGACAGCAAAACACATAATGCAGGTACTGAATTGTTAACCAATCATGTGATGTGGTTTTCTACTTTCATCTTTTCTTACTTTTATCCTCCTCAGTTTGCCATCTAAATAAAATCAACGACTATCTGCATCTATGGATGGTATATTTAGACCCTTGGCGTTGCAGATTTTGGACAAGGAAGCAGTTGAGGAAGTGAAGACTCTAAGAGAGATACCTGATATAAGGCCTGGCTATATTTTGCAGCTCAAAGTGGTAATTGGTGTTCATTTTTAGAAACTTATTCTTCCCTATTCAGTATTCATTTCTTTATCCAATAAATTATGAAGATTATATTCTGTACAATGTTTTATGCTCTTAAAAGAATCGCAGTCAATAAATTTGATATACTCAATGTTCGTATGTTAGGAAGTACCCGAAAATAAGAGGCGTCTTTCAATAGTCAAAGGAACAGTAATAGCGAGGCGCAATGCTGGTTTGAATACTACATTCAGATTAAGGAGACCTGTTGCGGGTGTTGGTGTTGAATCCCTCTATCACCTGTGAGTCTGTACTCCGCTCTTTTTTTAATTCATAACTGAAACAATAATAATATACACAAATACACATACAAAAATGTGCTTTCCTATTTGTAGTATATAATACCAGGCTAGCATTTGGATTTGTTTTTAACTGCAGAACTGCCTAATTTTTCTTAAACTCATAAACTTGAGGGTTGGGTACTGTTGATGGTCTCTAACAGTTGTTTGGAGTCAGCATGTTAACTAGCTACACACAAAAACTTGCAAGCGGGTTTTAAAATCGTTTCACTTATTCTACATATCTTAACGATATCAAATCATCTGTACTGTTTTTCCATACTTTGGGAACTAAGTTGTGGTTAGCTGCTTGAGATATTGCATGCTTTGTACATAAAAACTGATGTATGTGGTTTCCTGAATATCTAAAATAACTTCCTGGCTAACATACTCTCTTATCCATTTCTGCATTTCAAATCTTTTGTGAGTTTTTAGCTAACACAAAATGACAAAACCTTGTATAGGACTGTCTCATGGTGAGATAGAAGTAATACCTTTTAGGGAAAAAATTATTTGATCTAGGTGCAACTTTTAAACTGTTAAGGTAGAACTGCAAAAATAATTACCTCTACTTATACTTCTAAATTTATTTGTTGATTTCACAAAAATTATTATATGTAATTTGTCTGCAACCATTTTTTGAAAACTTAGAGGAAAAGTTAGGAATGTTTGTTTAATCAAACATGACATATTTTAAACGACAGTAGTGTTTGAAACCTATCTTTTTGGGTGATGGGGGATCGCTTTGAAACATGAATAAAAGACTTGTTTTTGTTGTAGAAACTACTCTTCTGTCCCAATAAACATTCATCCTCCAAACATTTGTCCCAAATAGGGTCCTTTTGGTTCAAATAGATCCAATTTTCACGTAAATCTCTCAAAAAATTGCCGAAATAAAAAAACATGGTCAAATACAATTTCTTTGGGACATAGTCAATAGTAACCATTGCGATAATAGATGTATTAGATTGATATTTAGGTATGCAATTTTTGTTAGAAGAAAAACTGTGTCTCGCAGTTAGATGCTCTCACAAGTCACAAGTGACTTAACCTTTAACTAGTTCCTTATTTTTTGACCATTTTTGTGATTTTAGATACTCGCCAAATATAAAGGAGATAAAGGTATTGGACAAGCATAAAGTGAGAAGGGCCAAGCTATACTATCTGAGGGACAGAATGAATGCATTGAAGAAACGCTAGAGTGGGACTAACAAGTTTATTTTGTTACAAGCAACTCTAGGACTTGCTTTACCCACACAAGGTAAAAACCTGTTGGAGTATTAATTGACATACTCTTTCAGCATTCATAGATTCAGTATTCTCTTAGTTTTATCATATCAAGAGCCCTTTGTTCTTATTTTTATAGTAATAACTAATAAGAATATAAGATGCCATCTTCGATTATACTGGATATCATCTGGGGCTTGGACCTCAAATTTTATGGTCTTGTGTGGTAAATGTCTGGTAAATGTGTGATTTACCGATGTCTGAGCTTGGTTCAATTTGTTAAGTCTAGCACACTTTATTCAAATCTAGTTTACTTTAAGACGGGAACAAGTGAAACATCCTTATTGTTTTTACGTGAAACTAACCCGACCAAGCATCAGCGTTTAGGATTTTGAAAACCCCCTAAAACCCTAAACCCTAAAACCACCCTAAACCTAGAATTAGCATCAGTAAAATCCCGATGTAGTTTTCAACTTTTCATTACTCCCAAATAGCCCCAACTTCTAACGTGACCCCAAAAGTTAAACCAATTTTAACTTTTGGTCACTCACTCTTTGGGTGTTTGGAATTGATTTTGTTTTTGTTTCTGTTTCTTTTTCAAAATCAGTTTTTCAGAAACTAGTTTCCCCTAGCTTCTAAAAAACTGTTTTTAGTAGTAATTTGGAGCACTCAGAAGTAATTCTGCAGTTTCACCCAAACACTCCATTATCCGTTTATGTTCTTTGAATGAGCAAAAGTAGTTTTAAGTAGATTCAAACACCCCTTATATTTTACAGTGTCAACAAGTTAATAAAATAGCATTTTAAGATATACTCGAGTAATTCTTCATCGATCACATTCACCAGAAAGAATCAATCAATTCAGAATAAAGAATTCAATTTAGGATCCATTTAAGGATCGATTGATTAAATAATTAAACTATCAATACTTTAAAACCCATAGATACGAATTTTTAATTTTTAATTTAATTTTATACCATTTTCAATGATTTTTTCTTCACAACAATTTAATGTTAACGAGTAAAGTAATATTTAAATTAATTAATATTCATGATTTTTAAGCTCTGAATTAGTTTTCTATCATAGATCCTACATTAACATTTTCATCATCTAAATCTTTAATTCATAATCACTCCATCTTTTGGATCCTAAATTGAAGAAAATCTCAAATGTTTGCGTCGAATATTTTTACCTGGATTAAAATTTTCTTGTATGGTCTAAAGTTTGGTATGATTTGGTCTGGTTTAAATTGACTCTGCCCAGTCTGATTGATGTTTGGTTTCTGTGTACTTTGCAACTATCGAAGTGTGATCCGTTAAAGCCTGATCTTGACGGTTTAAGTTTGAATGTTTGCATTTGAACATGAACTTTAGGATCTGAGTTTTATTTAAGTTTGGTCTATTCTAGTAATGTTGGTACGATAAATACTTTATTATTATAAGATCTTGTCTCGTCTAGTATACTTAGTTTTGACCAAATTTAATTTGATGTAGAATGAAAATCACTCCAAGTGAAAACATTTTAACTAGGAATTTTATCAATCAAGAATCCGAAAGATAGATGAATTATGAACCCAGACTTGAAAGATGAAATGAATCGAAATATGACCTTAATGATGGAAACTATCAATCTAGGAACTGAATGATGGAAAACTATCAAATATTAATCTATGATCTGAATGATTGAAAACTATCAATATAGGACCTAAGTTTTTATAAATTTATTATTTATTTTATTTTTAAAAAATTAAATATTATTTAGTTTTATAAAACTGATAAACTTTTGTGAAGAAAAAATCATTAAATATTAACAATGGAATTAATAAAAAATTAAATAAATCAAAACCTATGAAATGTTAGGTTCTAGATTGATAGTTTTTCATAATTCAGATTTTATATCGATACATTTCATCTTTCAGTTCCCGGATTGATAATTCGTTTATCTTTTAGGTCCGGAATTAATAAAATTCCTTTTAACTATAATCCGATTTCATTTTTCTTAAAACTAATTCATAAAGTTATTTTACGCGTGATTACAAGGAAATGACAAAATCAATACAATTATGATATAGGTGCACCTTGGGTTATATCTATGGATGGACTCGGGTCGGGTGGCCCGACCCGGAACCGGCCCGGGACCGGTACTGTTCCGGCCCGGCCCGACCCGGTGGCCCGGTCAGTGACCGGTCCGGGTAGGCCCGGCCCGTGGGTTTTCCGGTCCGGGCTCGGGTCACCCAAAACAAGGCCCGACCCGGCCGGGCCCGGGCCCGGTTCGGGCCAAAAACTATTTTTTTTTTCAATTCTTTTAAATTTTCGGGTTGGGCTGGGTATTTTGGGCCATTTGGGGTGGTTTGGGGGTTGGGGGTGGGAGGGGGGTTAATTAGGAAGAGGAAAACAAAAAAAAAATATAATGGGCCCGGCCCGGCCCCGGACCGGACCTGGTGGTTACCCGGGCCGGTCCCGGATCCACCATTTCTGACCCGCCGGCCGGCCCGGGCCTAGGCCCGATCCGGACCTGACCCGGACCCGAGTCCATCCATAGTTATATCCCAGGCTACACCCTATATAAATCTTCACCAAACTTTCCTTCTCTTTTTCTTTCTTGTTACCCTTTTCTCATCCTCTAGCTTCACATCATCTTCCAGTCATCATCTTCACATTTATTTTTGTCCGTGCATCCAAAATTGGTGTGTTGAAGTTTATTCCTTCAATTCAAAGGCTCAACATATTTTCTTTGAGTTTTGAGTGGATGTTTTAGTGAATTAGGATGTAAACAAGCAAAGATGCACCAAATATTTAAGTAGTAAGTGGACCGGCAGCACATCAGCAGGTTGACCGACAGGTTACTTGCTAAAATCAGTTTTGACGAAAATTGTAAAGTACGAGTACGTAATTGATGAAACTTAAAATACGAGGGTTGAATTGACTTTCCGACAACTGCCATGTTTACCAATTCAAATCCAATACTCTATATTCCAGCATGACTGGCTCGTTTTGAACCATGTATATAGGTGGGAAAGTATCTAGTTACTTTTATACTCTCTCTGTCCCGAATTGAATTGCAAACTTTGACCGGCACAAGAATTAAGGAAGAATAATAAATGATGCTTGCTTTTTACACTTTTGCACATCTTCCTAAAAGTAGATGTCTTTAAGTTAATGGGAAAAAATAAAGTAAGGGTAAATTTGTCACTTTATTCTTATCTACATACCTAAAATTGAAAGTGGAAAACCATTTTGGGACAACCAAAATAGGAAATTTTGCAAATCATATTGGGACGGAGGGAGTATATAAATAGATTTGTCACCGTTCCATCAGATAAAATTAAGACCTATTTTTTATATCAATAGATACTATCATATTATCACCGTTTCATCAGATAAAATTAAGACCTATTTTTTATATCAATAGATAATATCATATTATCACCGTTCCATCAGATAAAATTAAGGCCTATTTTTTATTTAGATAAAAAGAGACTAATTATATGCGAATTGATGGAAATGCTTCCATATACATATGATAGCAAACCATAATATCCTCATGATGAGTACTTTGTCGTAGTGCGTCAAAATAAATTCGATACTAACACTTATGCGTAGTATAATGAAGTAGAGTTCTTATCTACAGAGAAATGAATAATTCTCTTTTAAATGAAACTAGCAATTAAAGGGGGTTTTTGGGGTTGAATGATTTAATTTAATTAAACACTAAGATGAACAACTTATATGCGATTTAATTCAAAGATAAAAATAACTTGGCTTTGCTACTTTCCACTTGTTGTTATATTTAGTCGATACTTGTTACATCTATAACTTATTCCCTCTTGAGTATTCAATCGAGAAGTATCTTCATTAAGGGCAGAGACTAATCGGCCGGCTAGAGTGATTTTTAAAGATTGCTTAATAATCGTGTTGCTCAAGGTGAGATAGTAGTACGTTTTAGTCATGAATTGAGCAATCTCGTGTGATTTTATACAAATTTTAAAACCCTTGCAATTCGACATAGACAAAATACTGCTAAAAAAACGAATTTTTTCTTTTTGCTATCGGAGAAACTCCTTCTTTGATGCATGTTTGCGTGAATGAGGTAAGTTTTAAACGGATGGACATTTTCCCACTTCCACCGTAAACTCTGAAGGATGTTGTGGATCCCATAACGATTTCTATCCATTTTGGGCGGCGCGAACACGGACGTGAACTCGACCAGATTCGTGGGCGCGCTCCATCCGGTTCCATATATTAACGCCTTCTCCGTTTGATTCTGTGCCGCGCTGATCTGGAGCTAGCGTGATTAGAACCTCTTCAACTTGAATTGGCCAATATCGATCTTCTCCGTTTGAAATGGCGGCGTCTTGGAACTCAACCCCCATGGAGGTCCTGTACAATGTTTTGGGCTGGGTTGCGTTTGTTTCGTGGTCCATCAGTTTCTATCCTCAGGTCATCTTGAATTTCCGCCGGAAAAGGTTCCCCTTTTCGCTATGTATTTATACTTCTGTACTTCTTCTCGTCCTTCTACTGCTGCTGCTTACATTAGAAATGATTTGGACGCAGTGTGGTAGGGTTAAATTTCGACTTCGTGTTGTTGAATTTGACGAAACACTCATCCTATCTCGTCTATAACGCCTCAGTCTTCTTCAGCTCTGCTGTTCGGAAGCAGTATCATCGCAAGTATGGCTTTGATGAGGTTCCGCATCTATTTACTTCATTATCCTCTCCTCCTCGTGTTTTAAACAAATGAATTTGTTGTTTTTCTCTGCTGCTGCTACTAATACTGTTATTATTTTCCCTCTTTTGAAAATAAAGATGTGCTATTTCCTGCATGTGTACTTTTTTCCTCGGATTTACACGTTTCCGTGCAACATTGATGCACTTGTTGTCATTCTTTCCAACGCTATGTGCCTATGTGTGCAGTATTGTTTGTGAAACTCCCCACATCTTAAACTTAAGACCATACAATCCAACATATAAGATCATAGTTATTCTTTCTGTCAGGCTTGCTGTTTTTAGGGACCCCGAATTTTAATATTGTACCAAAGCAGTACTATTGTATTTTGTTCAGGTGACAACTATAATTTGAGGTAGCCCGTTTGTGGTGTGTTTGACCTATTTCTTATCTTTCAAGTTATCGATATGGCCTATTTATCATCTCTCTTTTTCCCCATGTTTAAAGTGTTTGTCTTAATAAGTATTCACAGTTGCACTTCTTTGTAAGCATTTTTCCTATATGAAGCTACTTTATTGATAACTTGGGATTTCATTTATACAGATGATACCTGT